CGAATCGTAGTACTGGTTCACAATGGACTGGTTCTGAATGAGGTCTCTAAACAAATTTACCCGACGTTGCCAATAAGGTTATTTTGACAAATATAGACATATATATACCGATGTTGATCAAACTCGTGCATCACTCTTATTTTGGAAATAGATTTCAGTACCCAATATCATACTTGTACATTGATGGCCATTTGTAAAGCGTAACAATTCCTGATTTAATCTCCCAGTTTTACGCTCTTAGTCCTCTTCTATCGCCGTTTGAATTTGCGCGATAAAATTTGTAGTAGTTTGAAAGTTACAGATGAGAGTTCAAAAATATTTTAAACAAACCAGCATTGGAGTGCATTCTTTTTAATAAATGATTCCTGTTCCATGAGTGTTTATTAAGTTGAGCACGCGTATTCTATATTGCTTATTTTTCAACCAGTGCACAGTAAATAAGCAATGTAATGAAAATATTCTAGCTTAAATAAATTGACAAATTATTTGGCTACAAACTTCTCATGCATGATCCACAATACTGGAAGAAGTGAAAACATATCACAAGAAGTATACAAGTTGATCTTTGAAAGGTGACCTTGAGGTGTGCGGCTCATCGAATAAGCGTCTTGTAGTCTCAACATACCCAAACCGGATGAAACATTAAAAGGTTTTGGCATATAATTGAAGCCTAGAGGAGCATGAATCCGATGACTCAGTTGGTGTCCTGTGGAAGCGCTTCGATGTGAACATAAGTCCAATTTGTTGCATATTCAATGAAATTTCTTCATTAAGACATAAACCGAGAGGGAGAAAATCGACAATATTAAAGCAAGACGATGGTTGTATTTGATCGCAGCAGAGAAGAGTTGCACAATCCTAGGAGATTATATATATATATATATATATATATATATAGCGAGAGAGAGAGAGAGAGAGAAACGCCGTGTTATTTAAAGCTCGATGTTCTCACTAAAAGTTAAGAACTTTCCAACAGGGTTCAAATTAGTGTGGGGAGAGAATTTCGCGCGTTCTTCCTTTACATCTTCTTTAGAGACAGTAGAATATTCTTCGGATACCCAGAATTCGAGTGAATGATTAGTATTCTGATATATCGATGATTTTATTCATGTTTTAATCGCGTTTAATCATGTTCAATCAAATTGGACGGGGTCGTTAAGGTCGAGGTTCTTCAATCAGACTAGCACGACAACTGATTCAGTTGGCACCATGTGAGGAGACAACCTGCTGCGTTGTTTGCCATACATAGGATTCATTAAAACCGAACTTCAGCGTGTGATCAGGTGACACTGTTAAAATCTCCGAGTCACTCTATCGTATATTCGGTTGTTTTCTTGTGAACACTTGGTCAGACAAAAATGTGACTGGGATCGTGTTTCACGATTAAGTAAGTGACTAACCCTTTTTCTTCTGTTTGATCTGTGCAAAAATAGTGACAGTGAATCCGCATTCAGGTGTATCATGTGCCGGATATCAATAGGGAATTGACAATTCATCATTTGCTAATCTAAAAAAACTAATGTGTCACAGTGAAACCTAAAATTCTAGTCTAATAGGTTCAATAAAAAAACGAACACAAACCGGGTATGAAATACATGATTTGATTGAGATAACCAACAGATTGACAAATGTTTTCCATTTTTGCATGTTCGCCCAGCTTGTAAATTTGTTTGCAACCGTTTTATCACCCGTTGAGTTGACATCTTCAGTGCCACTTCACAGTGGTAATACATACGCCGAGGTTTCAGTGTTCAATTTCCGCGGGGACCGATGATTATACACTCCAGTGCTTCCGGAGAATATGGTTGACAGAATGAACCGGGGATTTTGTGAATATGAAATTTTGAAGACAACCACTCAAAATCACAGGTACAGTTTTCATAATAATTTTCTTCATGTTACACTGATCGTGATCATGAATATGATTTTAAAGTATTTGTCTTGCCTGTACTCTAGTTGCCTGCCTAAGAGGACTTTCAGACTTTGAATCAGCATGACAAGTATCAACGTTGCTATCATCATCATTGCTGTGAAGACGAATACTCGTGTCAGTTGACCTGTAACCCAACCAAATGACCCCCTCCAAATATTAGCACCATGTATGCACCAAACAGTGATCCAATGTACTGAAAGTGAAAGACCTATGACAAATCTGATGCACGGAAAATGAACTCCGTCTCCGTTTGAGAATTTTCCTCGTGGTTCATTTTTTCTAACCGTTGGGTTAGTCTCAAAAGTAAAATCAGGTTTTTATTTGCTTGTCACTCCTATGTGGTTAGTTAATAATGAAAATGGTACAACAAGCCTAAGCAGCGAATAAATGCTGACCACAAGGAAGTTGTCGACAACTTCATTCGACNATTCGACTGTACGCGCAATTTCCTCACACGTTATGGTGCACAAACAAATTAAAATAATCTGAGCAGCTTTCAGGCGATCAATTGAGTACCATGCTAGTACTCTAACTGTGAGATCCGGAGTTCGATGGATTCACTTCGTTACTGAGGTCCAACAGGATTGAAACATCCATATGGATACTCACAGCTTTTCAGCTCACGTTTCTTCTGATCCATCTATCCATACATGACTGAAAACCTTGCTAATAATTGTCCCAGTCTGAAAATTATTGCGCGCTCATCAGCAACTGAAATACTAGACTAAATTAAATTTGATCTTACATATTTAAAGGTTTTTGTTCCGATGTTCACTGCCAGTAGGTGAACCATGATCGGCCAGTGAGGTTGTCTTTTGTTCTGACAGTGCACCAACCCATAAGAAAGCAGTGAAAGCAACAACATCCATGAATCATGAAAACAAGTACCTGACGCACTGTAGTCCGTTTTTCAACCCAACCACAGGTTCTTTTTGCACGACCTGAAAGTCAGACTGTAGTTATTTTTTTCCGAATTTCTACGCAATGCAGAGCTGGTTCACCTACCACTGTGGAGCGTTGAAAACTCATAGAAACAACCTCTGGGATTTCATCAGTCAATCTGGTTTTATTCGAACGATACCAGTACACTGTTTTATCGAACTGTCATGTGTCAAAGTTTATCAACACTCAATTTGAATGGTTGCGATTATGATATATCGGGCTGTAATTTGATGCAATTGGTTCTATAAAATTACTTGGGCTTAACTTATCCACTTTGTGGTGTAAATATTGTTGTAGCTGTGCTGCAGATACGAGAACCATTCGAAGATGTGAAATGTTATTCAGATTTTACAATTCGGTAAGTTAAAGTTTCAAAAGAAATGAAGCATTCATTCATAACCAGTTTAGTCAATTTTGTTCTTTTATTTAGGGTGCTGAGTTTATCAGCTTGAGTACAAGATTTTGATTGGTGGAATATGTTCTTTGTCTCAAGATTTCACCGCCCTGACCTGCTTTCAAGGAAGTTTTGATACTGACGTGTTTCAGGTTCCTTTATGGGTCTCCTCCAGGATAGAAATGCATCATAGAATCAGCATTATTACTTGCTGTAAATCTCTACGTGTCTTGCGTATGATAAGCCTCATTTTGGTGTGAATACTATTCGGATTAGTTTAGGCTGGTGTGGTAATCCTAGCCTACAAGATGACGCAAACTACGGGCGACACGTTACAGTTTCTGGACAACTGTAATGAGTCCAGCTTCCCAGATGACACCAGCAAAGGGTCTACGCGTTGCGCCATCTGGACAATGAACCATAGGCCAATTGTGCCGACCAATCAGAAACGGTGCAGCCCAGACAGAAGCTATATGACGAGCACGCGATTATTAGATACCTGGAGAACCCGTAAACTGCTTTTATACATGTTATCTGACCCTTTTGATTTCTTCCAATAAAAGGACTACTACTTCCGTGATCTTTTCCTTGCTTCTCTGTTACATGGGATGCCGCCGTGCATGTGTCAGTGTTATTCAGTGCTTCCGTGGCCTATGTGATTCTTGGTTCCTAATTCGTGATTCATGATCTGTGCGTATTTCTGTCATCACAGCTGGCCTTGGCTAAATGCCGATACGGCAAAGGTACAGATCTTTATGACAAGTTTAAAGGATATATATGTATATCACCGGCTTACGAACAATATGGTACCGACGCAACAAAGTTATTATCATAGGGCGGAGGACTGAGGTACAAAACAGAGTAAACTGGAGATCAAACTTGTTGTACCATCTTTTCACACAGATATCAAAGAGCGAGGACTACCGATGGCGCATTACAGTACCTAATTTAGGTCATATTGAGTCACTTTGGTTGAGTCCGATCACGTGCTCTTTTTAAAGGGCTTAGCCTTTTGACGCACTGGTCACCGAAGAGAACCCTACGCCTGGTTAGTCGTTTTTTTTCTTTTTCCTGACATAGGTATTTGTGCCTTCTATGTTGAGAAACTGAGTCATGGGCTGCGAATTTCCAAACAAGAAGGAATAGATAAATAATGTGTTTTGGCTAGAGCAACTTGGTAACTCAAGCCTGAGATTTGTTCGTGGCATGGGATCTATCCAGAATCAGTGGTTCTGATAGGGTGAAAGCATTAAATTTCGATCGGTCTGAAACAAAAAAGGAAGTGACGTTGTTTGGTATTTCTTTGACAAAACAATTTAATGAACCGTTACAAATGGCGAGCAAATGTATCTGGGGGGATGGAAGCCGCCGTTAATTCAGGGCATAGTCGAAGACTGTCTCGAATGTCGTACCTTACTTATAGTCTATAGATCCCAATTAACGAAAATATTTGCCTGATTATCTACAATGAAGAACAACCGGTTAATCCTTGGAATGGTTCATTTTAGAGACGATTTATCTGTTGGAGGCAATCCTGATTACTTCTTCGGTGAACCTGCGTGGGTTATTTCAAGTCCCCCCTCCCAAAAAAAAAAACAATAATAAAGAGAATATTTAGTTAGAGATGGCTTATTCTTCAAGTTGGATAAAGGTGATCCTTTTGTACGACCTAAAATGATTTGATGATAGTCTCTGCTTTTTCGAAGGAATGACGCAGTGGTGATACAAAAATTATGGGCTAAGTTTGACGTAAACTGCGGCCAAAATGTTAGCCTCCAGAAGGCTTACTGTATGATGCCTTGAAAAGGGATGACAGTTTATAAAAAATATTGAATTCGCGACAAATTGCGAATATCTGGCTCGTACGATTAGTTAAATACTCCAGCTAAGTCACACATACACATACGTACTATCTAACCACAAGCGTCATTTTCTTGTATCCAGAACGATCGTTTAGCTCGTTTGCTCATTCCTGGTGCTTTTTGATATCCTTCTCAGCCCAGCAACATCCAGTTTGTGCATGAGGCTCCACGGTGAGCGAAGAATTTTGTCAGAAATCAGATGTCAGCATGAAACAAGAACACCTAATCGGCCATTCCTGCTTTATTTTATCAGAGACGAAATATTAAAGAATGCCGTACACGGTCTCCGAAATTGCAAAATTAAATGTTTTTGTCCTTCTGATTCTTAACGACTGGCTTCTCCACATAAGAAGATTTGATTAAACGATACTTGTTCGATTTATAACATTGTGTCATTCTACCCCACGTATCTACAACTCAGCAAAGTTACATACCGTTACATAAAGTTAGCACCAGTCTCAAACTATGTAAACAACGTGAATGGTTGTTCACATTGGGTTTGCCTTGGTGATTGACCCTCCCACCCACATTCTTTCATTTCGTTGTGTTGTGTTGCCTTCTTGTCTTCTTCTTGTGGTTGCTATTTCACTGATAATATAAACCACCTTGACCGCAGTATGTATGTGTACATATGCAGCTAAGCGATCAGGGATACATTACGCAAATTGTTTTCGGACTTCTCTTTTCAATTTTTTAATGAAATCCTCCTAGCATGTATTATTGCTTTCGCATGTTCATCATGCTTGTTCGCACGATTACTATTCACTGTGCGCTGATGACATTCTTTGTCTTCTCGAATTAAAGGGTTTGTACAATATTCTTTTAAAAATCTTGCAAGTACTATTATACAACATTCGGTGTGTTTTGCAATTTCAAATTAAAAAATCGACTACTCTCGCACTGAAGTTCAATTGTCAGAAATTTCGTCTCTTATATCTGTAGGTAATTGCAGCACCAATGATCACCCATGATCAATAAAGCAGGTGAATGAACTCATATGCAAAGTTCGTGTGACATACACAAAACCGGAACACCTTTGGTTACCTTCACGTGAGATTTCATCGAATTTGAGAGGTTATTTATACTGTGGGCGCTACGGTGGAACCAATCTTATTTTACAATTTAAGACTGTGTTTCATTGTGGAAGTCATGAATCGACCGGAGGATGTTACAGTTGATTTCCGTTTCGATTGTGATATCACTCCATAAGTTTTCGTGTGCTTGGGAGCGTTTCTATTGAATTCATCGCCCCAACAAATATACATCTACATATGTATATAACAAATGAAGCGTGAACTGAAAAGCTAGGAAGCACTGGGGAAGTAGTCAGCTTGTGATTGTTTCCAACCCAGTCCAATCTAGTCCAGTCCACTCTTCACAGGGCGAATAATGGCCCTCACCAATCGAGCGTCCAGACTATTGTGTTGTTGGCAGGTGTTATTGGCTCCCAACAATGCGTTATCTGAGTCTCTTTAACCAGGTTTTCTCAGTCGAGCTGGAAAAGGGAAAACAGAAGAGATGTTTTCTCGCCTCATCGGTGAGAAACCTTGGTTTTATGAAACATACCAGTTTCAAGTACAATTGAAAGGCCCGATTCCATAGTTGAGGACTGCAATGCACCTGGCTCTTAGTGACGATGTATTGCCACCTAACCACTCCCCCGAGTAACCTGTTCCACATATGTATGAACCTGTGTGCGAAGAAGTTGGCCCGGACCTCCAACCTAGCATGACTCTGTTGGAGCTTAAAGCTATGACCCCTCGTGTTTTGAGTACGAAAAGCCGTAAACAAGTCATCTGCGTGGAGTCCTGATAGCCCTCTGACTATTTTAAAGGTTTTTATCAGGTCTCCTCGCAGTTTTCTACTTTCTAGCGAAAAGAGATTTAGGTCTCTCAATCGCCGTTCAAAGTTTTTTTCCCGGAAGCTAGTGCTCAGATGAGCGAGGTCCGTGGCTTGCAACAAGCTCGCAAAGATGGGTTGTGCTATATCGTGTAAATGGAAAATGAAGAAAAGTACGGCATGACCAGCTGCTCGGTTGCCGACTGGGTACAACGTTTGCGTTATGCCTGTCCCGGGTTCCAGCCCTAATTGGGTCGATGGATTCGCACTGCTGATGAGACCCAACCAGGTCAAAACAGCTGTCCAAAGCTTCCTAGATTTTCAGTTCACGCTTCATTTGCTACAAACAGGACGAATTTCACCTTTGAAATTCAATCAAGTCCTCCACTACTCACTTGAACTATGTATATAAACCAATCTTCAGAAACACAGCAACAAGGCAACAATGAGTTGAATAGGACAGAACATGAACAAAACAAAAGCAATCGTTTTCGGTAGACTTTCCCGTAAAGAATACATGTTGCCCATGAACATGAATACGATAAAGTATGTGGTGATACTTTGATCTGTTGCGTACTAAGGGGCGGGATGTTTGTAATTTGTTGTATTTCTTACACCTCTTATCTAATTGAACTTACTAGTCGCAACTTCCATTTGTAGTCCTCGGTATTCGTTTTGTGTTATTTCTACAGACGGAGGAAGCTTCTTGAAACCATTGCCACAACATGCCACAATAATATCTGTTATGTCACTTAAATTCAACTCTACCTCGGTGGTTTTGCAAATCTGTCACGTTCAACATTGCACCGAACCTGTTTTGATGACCTGGCTCTGGTCGTACAGGGGAAAAATCAGTGAGGGTAATCCTGAACGATTCACTGTAGACAATAGGAAATTTATACCCAAACATCCGAAAGTAGACACAGACATGCCATCAGATTTTGTTTTAATTGCAGGTTGGTACAATGAAGGAATGCATGATTGAACGGTCCGTGCCATACTTAGTTTCATGCACAATGGACAGTCGACCATGTAAAATTGACTCTACGAAGGACATTTTCACAGATTTATGTATGATGTCATTTAGCACGACACTCAATTTCCCAAACAGTGTCACCATCAAGATTTCGGAATCTCATCTTCCACACTCGTTTACTCTGAGTTCCAAACGGCGCATAAATATTGACTGGATTCCCCAATGCAATAAAAAACTGCCTTTAAAAAGCAAAGTATTCCCGAGTTCTATTTAATAAAATCTATGGGTTTTCACACAAATCGAAGAGAAGCACACATTTGCCTTTCAATCATTTCTGCTTCGTTTTCACAAGACACTTCAAGTAGGTCACCGCTTTTGAGTGCTGGTGCTTATCCGTCAGTGTATATCGTCTATATCAGCTGATAAAACCACTTTCCCGCCAAGAGCCGATATGGTCACTAAGATCAATAAGGCAATCCATGATGTTTTGGTTGTTTAATGAATCTGATTAAATCTGTTCTGTCACATCTTATTTCTTGTCATTTCAATCAGGGTAGCAACGCTAAGCAACATGGGTAGCCACAATTGAATATATCAAGTCAAGAAACGCTTTGTACACCCAAAGGGTTAATTTTTAGCAATTGCGTATCGTTGTTTGTCGACTTCAGTTGTCTTAGTTAGGAAAGTCAACACGAGAACCGGTTCGTACTCCAACAAAAGCCAGCCGAAATGCAGGTGTTCAAGCTTTTCACTTGGCGACATAAGCGTATTCTGTCTCCTGGACTAGATATGCAAGCCTGCCAAATGTGTATTGAGCCGTGGAATGGAATGGAATCGCAGCAGAAATAACAGTTCTTCTTGAAGAAGGAAGTTCTAAATAATCCGTCACGAATGAAAAACATGCAAGCACGAAGAGATTTTCCCCAGTGTGTGACATGAACACAACTCACGCTCAAATTGAAATCATACATTGCTCAGTGCGTAACACTTTATTGCACAGTCGTGTTCACCTCGTATTCCATTGGTTCATTCTAAAAGTACCGTTTATAATTCTCACGGAGGAGATACAATTCTGGCGGTAAATCTGTACGTTTCTTAAGCCATATGATGGCATTCCGGGCATAGCTTTTGGGCATCTCATCAATCAGCATGGTCAAAGTCTGATAAAATTGCATATCAAACACGTATTTTCCTGCACGCAATTTGGTAGCGTGACTGATAAAGAAGCTTTGTAGGGAAAGACTTAATTTGCCAAGATGTAAAAATTCGTTCGCTGTTTGACTATGACAAAGTAACCAACTGATCAGATCTAAAGCTCGATTTCGTACTTCAGGCAACCAAAGTATGAAATAACCGCTATAGGTGACAATCGTTGCGACCTCAAGCCAATCAGCCAGATCAATGAGACCACTCAAATAGGACATGGTCACACAAACATTGGCACTATTCGAGTGATGCTCCACGTTGTATAGAAATAGTTGCATTTTACAATTCACCCAAGCTTTGAACAGTCGTACAATTGCAGTCGAAGTGGTGTGCCAAACCACAATCTGAGTTAGAATACCCAAACGGGTCAACCGAAACCGGATTGTGTTTAAGCTGTCCGAGATGATGGAATGCGCAAAATGCAGATGAGCGATACAATCCAAGGTGTAACGAATCTTTCGAAAAAAATTCAAATTGATGCAACTGAAAAGGAAAATGACAAACGCTTGGTAGACTCCATGTATGAACAGGGTGTTGTGTGTGATAAAAAAGAAAACTAGGGGTTTGGACCAATGCGGATCTGCGGCACAAATAAATCGATCATGAAAAATCCACAAATTGTATGTAGTTGGTGCGAACATGCTTTGCATGGCACTAATCACCAGTGTGATACACACGGAACAGATCAGAGTTGGGGCTGAGACGCGTCTGATCCGATTCATGTCTGCTGTCAATGTGAATACGATAGATTCCAACAACAAAAGATTAACTCTTGATTCATTTAGAAATGCCACAAAATAACTCGCAGTCTTGCATCCGGGGTGACCATAGTGTGATACATAGACTCCTTCATAAGAAAGCCACGATAGTCCTTTACTGAATAGATTTATCACCAGCCCGTTGTACGCCAAGTACCATAAGTCACAGATTGTGGAAACGAAAAGTAGTCCATTTATGTACGATTGCACGGGCAACACACGAACCGCAATGTAGATCAGAATAGTGGCATTGAATAGACCAATCACAAAAAGGGAAGGTAATAAAAGTCCAATAAATCCACCGGTGGCGATCAGAAATTGACATTCCGAGTGACGCAAAGGACATTTAAGGTAGAATTCATTGTCCACCTGGTAAACTAGACCCATTTATATTCCAGAGTTTGTTGTACAGGGATTTCACACTTCCCGGAATATTTGAACAAAACAACACATCCGACTGATGTCGGCAGTGGTAAATCAATAATGCATGGGATCAGGTGATTTTCCATCTGATTTTGGGGATATATGGCCATGCTCACGTAATGCGAACAAACAAACAGTCAGTCTAGTGAATCGTGACTACTATATTGTAATCTATGTTGAATAATAGTATGTTATGAAGGTACTGAATATTGCTAAGACGAGATAAGGCAATGGAAATTACCAATGAAGTATCAAAAAATAAGGATTTGTACATGATAATGCATATGGAGGCAGACTGTGCTTACTATAGTTTTTATTCTAGGATGTTTAGTTTGTTGATTGAAGTACTGTTGGATTCGTTTTCCACCAACCCGCATTATCATTACAACATTTATGTAGTCACTTACGTGGTACTTGCGATTATCCAAACCCAAAATCAATCAATACCTGTTTAAATGCAAGTAAGCCCATCGCATTCTTTTGGAACAAAATGATTGGTGCCTTGGCCATCACACGTCACCCATTGGTCCGCGTCCATCACAATCGCCCACCAGTCGGGATGAACTAATTCCTCCACAATCAAAAGTGAGTTACCAAGCCAAGGCTTCAGCGAAGTGGGGCTTGACTGTTCATCCTCGGGATCCTCATACCTTTGTTCGAGTGAGCTTTAGACAAGTTTGAACTAATCCGCAGTTGCTTTGCTTCAGTGGATCGGGTATAAAAGCGATTCACGATTCAAGTTAGATTAATAAACCAGTAACTCAGGTGCAATTGTCGACATGGGTATGTTCCATGGTTGATTCAGCCTAAACCACAGTTAACAAATGCATAACCGTCGGGCACTCTTCTCATTTAGGAATGGAGGGAAATTAGATTTTCTTGTGTAATTAACTGCTAGATTCTGTTTACAAGGCAAATGATTACATTCGTGTTCTCAACCATTTTCACGGAACGTCAGTGTTATTGAGACAGTCATGCAGTCACATTCAATATTTACATAATAGGAACTCCATAGAATCACTGTTGCATTTAGCTTTTAGGTTAAACATATTGTCACACAGCTATCGTGATTATGGAAGTAAATCTAACTCCGGCAGCTTAAATTTTAGATGAAACCCATCCTGTACACACAACCAATAGTCTAAGTGAATGGGAATCAACGTCAAGCACCCCTTCTTAATTCAGGCACCTGTTTGCGCACATATATTCCGTTGCATCTTAAATTGCAAAATTTCTGAACGTATTCACGGGAAACTGACAACCAGCTTCATCAAGTGCTTTATTTTTTGTATGGGGGAGGGGGCGTTTATTTCCATTGTGCTGTCTCGCTGTTTCACCTATGTGTTCACTATCAAATGTTCAGCCCCCGAGGGAATAAAATGAATACTTGATTTAAGATGGTTTGAACTGAATCCCGTGGTTGCTAGTCCTGGTCCTCTGAACCCCACCGGAAGGTCTGCTTGTCAACATGACGACTCACTTCCATTAGATCCGTATAGGAATATTTGGATTTGCCATGAGTGAGTAAATTTCATTGACTCTTCTTCCTGTTCTGCTATTCAAGTACTTCACTTTATACCAAGTGATGCAGCGACAATCAATCGATCATCGTCACTATCATAGTTGGATGATATACAATTTTTATTATCCATCGACTGTGGATGAATGCCACAAGAACGATAGGTTTGAGCGGCGACAGTAGCCGACATTTGCGTAACTGCGTAACTGAAATAATCACAAACATCTGTCTATAAACCATTGCAAGAAAAGTAAAAAATGCTACGTGATTGTGTGTGACAGTAGATGAGGGCCACGTTTGAGTCGAGCAAATTGTAACATTTTATATTTTCGGACTCTAGATAAATATCCGACGTTGTTTTAGAGTCCCATGAACCTCGAGAACATGCGGGTTCGTCCTCTGAGGTGGCGCATTACTCAAAATAAACATAAATAATTGCACGGATTTAACGATCATAACGTCTGAGACGGTGAATGATTGGATTAGCTCATTCGGTTTTTCACAGGCACCAGGTACTGTTGATGGTCTCGGGTGAGGGTTTCACTCCTTGGGTGATCGTTAATTCCCCATCAGTTAAGTGCATTAAAATGCAATGGGAATGTTTTTGATAACCGACAATGATTCCTGGACAGCTGTTTCAACCTGTTTGGGACTAGGATTGGATGAGAATAGAGGATTTAAATTGGTTATATGGCCAATTCTGTAGTGTGCAGAACAAATGAAGCGGTCATTGAAAATTTAGGTAGCACACCTATTTCTTTCTGGCTGGGTCTCTTCATAACGGCACAAATCAATCGAATCAACTGGAATCCGAACCCGGGACCTACCAAATCGAACGCAAGCATACCACCTACTTGAACACGAGGAGGCTGATCAGAACGTTTTTATTCAGCCCATGCACGATACAACACGAGCCACCCTTATAAGCGCTGAGAGGACATTTCTTCTCGCTCATCCTCCTAACTGTTCTCTATGGTTATGACTCGATTGGGAACATTCCAAACTTTACTATTGAATTCTTTATTTCTTTTTCATATTCACTTCCTGTTATTGAATAGACTAAGATACGATTTTTAGGAAGGCAAGCGGACTGCCGTACAAATCCAGAGAACGGAAAAGTTAGGCGGTGGTGGTGGAATTCGAACACACGTCCTCTGGGGTAATAGTTTGCTTAAAAATGAATATAATCATCCATGGTTCACATGCTAAGGAGCTGAATCTATTTCTTTACTTTCACGGCAAAAAGTATTCTCCGCAGTATGCATATTGACATAAATGTTACAATTGTGTTAGAGCGGTGCTCAGAGAACCCTTCAATTCGCAGGCACGCTGGCGGCTCCCAAGACGAGTCGATTCCGGATGAATCAAACAGCTGTCATCCGATCAACCAATCAGTGTCAAGATCGCGATCCGATTGGTGCGTCACCACGTTCTCGTACTGCCAATATGCCCACCTACAGTGCAATTGCTCCATCGTTTCACATTGTCTTGCCCTCTGACAAGTGACCTGAAACAAGTAGATTCCCTGCGATCTGACTGAATCATTTCTTCGCGATTTATGGCACTTGGCTCCCCTAACCCCAACACGAAGCTGTCTGTCCGGCTTGTACGTGTGTATTTGTTGTCCAGGCCATCCGTGTGGTGATGGCACTCCCCAGCTAACCCAAGCGAGAAACCACACCTTGTTTACAGCCGCGAGTCTTAGGCAGGCCCAGGGAACTTCGACTGTACAGCAGGAGTGCCATCACCACACTGATGGACCGGACGTGACAACAAGAGTATTACAAAAAATACAAGCCGGTAATCAGACAGCCTCGTGTTGGGGTGAGGGATTCCAAGTGCTGCAGACCGCGGAATATGATCCAATCGGATCACGGAAAGGGTCAGAGGGAATTTACTTGTTTCCGGTCACGAGTGAGATGGACAAGACAATGCGAAACGATGGAGAAATGGCACTGTACATTTGCGTATCGCATTATGACCATAGAATACACTCTGACTGTTGCTCTCCATTCGTGTTCTCTCTCTCCCGTATTGTTGTTGTTGAGTCCTAGGCAAAGTGCGCTCAAGTCGATTGTACTTCTAGGCAGAACATAATAAATTGCTGATATCGTATCCCAATACAATCAAATGGATTGCAGACAACCATACGTTTTCAAATGTTGATGCTTGTAAGGACATAAATCGGTTCAATAAAGTTTATGCACAGATTTTTTTATTCGGATATTCTGCACCATGAATAATTTTGCAGCATTCCAAAATAAAACTTGCATTTCTGATCCTGATCTTTATTATTACTGTGCGACAGGGTTTCCCGATTTTCCTCGGTTTGAACAATGAACTTGCAAAACTCTGAGTGGAAAAACGGTGAAATACAGCTGGTTGTCACTGTACCAATCTGAAAATTTACTTCCCGTGATAAACTTAAGGAGAGAACACAACAAATCTAGTTTATATGATTCATACCAAGGCAAATCTTACTGCATCTTAACTGGTACAACAATAATTCATATCGTTGAACCGTACGTACATCAGGTACACATAAATACGACTGACTTGAGTCATCACACTTTTCCAGCTGCCTTAGTTTGCAGATTGACGAGAACCGGAGAAACGGCAATCACGGCTAATTTGGTCGAAACCGAACATCGTGCCAGAATGAGTGAAGGGTGAGGCCCGATCAACCCCGATCAACGGGGTGAGATCGAACTGGTCAAGCTCACTGTCAACAGCCGAAGCGCTCGCGATTCGGTTCAAAAACAGTCAGTCAGATCTCTGGATTCACCCTGGCCAGCCAGAGTGCCATAAAGCCAGTTAACAAATGACATTTGCAGAAAGATTTGAACTCTCATACTTCTCTTAATGTGTTCTCCATAGTATCCATGCATACGCCTACAATTGCCTTGAATTATGTGGTTTTGGGACCTATAAAAGAGTGCTGTATTTGACTAGTAAACTATGCACAGAAAACGAGCTTATTTGCCAAATTGACGTCTTGATAAACGAAAAAGATTGCTACTATCACCGATAGCCGCAGCCCTCTCCATCTCTCTACATTTTCATACCCTGCACTTCCTCGAACTCTTGATGAGCTAGCGTTTAGGGCGGTTGCGCGCATTGTCGTATTTTTGCATCAGTCGAAATGGCTTTCCGGGCATCCAACTGGGCGACCGAGGTCAGAGAGATCCCTCGTCTTTGCTTTGATCGTGCGCCAGAACCCGCCGTTGTTTTGATTGACATTTGGATCGCTTCCTTAATTGCCGTCCACTGTTCTCCAAGTCCTTGGGCTGATGGTTGAGCTGAAACGCGATCAGGTAGTTCCGCTTCGAAGTCCGATTTGCCGTTTTCAGAGCAGCACCAGAGAACTATCAGAACAGAAAGTCATTTGGGTAACCTGTTACTGTCGTACAAGAGAAAGTAAGCAAGAACACGGGAAACGAATGGT